GTTGGCTTGCCCCCAAAAGGTATATAGGCAAGGGTCAGCAATATAGGGGGGTGGACTTCTCTCTCTGACTCTGAGCTCCTTGCTGCTCACCCCCTGGTCACTCCCCTCTCCCTTGTTCCCTCCCTTTCCCTCCTTCCCCTCCCCCTCTCTCCACGTGGACCACCAAGCTGGGCTGAGGTGAGCAATGTTGCTATGTATCATGCCTGACTGTATTATTGTATTATCTCTCATGCTCTCGATGACTTTAATATAATGCTTATATATCTCAACCGTACAATTGTGCATTACTGAACCCAAAAGCAGTATTACTGAACCCGAGTAGTAGTAACAGTATTAGCGGTGGGGGCTGGCCCCTCACCCTCCATCAGCATCATTATTATTTTTTAATTTAATACTACACTTTTCTCCACCAATACTTTTTAAAAACAAATAATTGAAAATGATGACATTCTTGCCTAAATGCAAACTACTCAAATCTCTTAGGAAAGTAAAAACAAAGAACGGACATCAGGCCAAGGCCCAGGAGATTGTGGCCGTACTTACAAGTACTTCAACGCTGGTAGTTTAAAAAGATATGTGTCTTCAACAGTCGTCAGAGGGTTACGGTTGAGAATTCTGAAAACGTGCAATTGGAATGAAAATGAGCTGCGTTTTCAGTAATTTCCATCAAAGTTCATACTCATTGTTGGTTTGTTGTGGTAGAAATGTGTAGGTTAAATAACAACAATAAGATTCTGCTTTTAACTATAAATCACCTTTAGGATTCAAAATGTACCTTTCCATGGAGAACTCTAGAAGAATTGAGAAGGGAGGACAACGAGAGAGAGGCAGATAGCAGAGAGAAACATACCCAAGGGTCTCTGATAGCTGGCCCTAGAAGTGACTTTCCTCTGCAGAAAATACCAGGGCTACTGTCCTTCAAAGTGCTTCTGTTTTAGTCTTTAGAACTTCCAAACACGGCATGACTTAGTTCACCCAATTTAAAAAAGAGGGTCAATTCTTTGGCCTTGGAGCCAAAGAACAGGGGGATGCACCTGAGGAGGAGAAGAACTCTAAAGAGAAGAAAGCCATCGTTCTCAGTGCTTACTACCGGTTCTTCTCGTATCAAGCCCAGGTTACACGGTATGCGATTACTTGTGTACGTGCCAGTCTCCTGGACTGCCAGTTTCTTGAGGGCAGGGACCACAGTCTACCACCACTGTCATCCCTGTGCCTAGCACAGTGTCGGGTGCTTACTGTAGGCACTTAACAAATATTGTTGAAATCACATTTTACTCATACAGTAATACAAGGAAGAGATTCATTTGTACACAAAGTTTATTTCAAAACGCTAGAATTGCTTCTCAATTCCTGCAAAAGTTAGAAAAGAAACAGAAAACAAGGAAGAAAGAGAAGACGGCTTTTATAGCTTATCTCTGTTCAGGGATCGTTAGGGTACTTCTGCAGAAGCATAAAAATAATAATGGTGACAAGCACTATCTATTGGGCTCCCAGTTGCTATGGCCAACATTTCTTTTTCTTTTATTTTGGATAGAGAAAGCCTTTTATTTATTTATTTATAAATAGTTTTATTGGGGGCTCGTACAACTCATCACAATCCATCCATCCATCCATGGTGTCAAGCACATTTGTACATTTGTTGCCATCATCATTCTCAAAACATTTTCTTTCTACTTGAGCCCCTGGTATCAGCTCTTCATTTTCCCCTTCCCTCCCCCACTCTCCCTCCCTTACCAACCCTTGGTAATTTATAAATTATTGTTATTTTTTCATGTCTTGCACTGTCCGATGTCTCCCTTCACCCACTTTTCTGGTGTCTGTCCCCCAGGGAGGGTTGGCCAACATTTCACACTGAGTCCTCGCAATAACCCTTTGTGGGCAGTATTAATATCACTCTTTCGTAAATAAGAAAACTGAGGCAAAGGGAGATTATAGGTCACCAAGCTAGTAAGAAGCGGAGCTGGGATTTGAACTCAGTCCTGTCTGACTCCAAAAGCCTGTGTTTAACCAGTATGAAGAAAATGGGGTTTCAAATCGCTGTTACTGTTAACATCCATTTTGAGAGCATGAAATATAGATCTATACCTTTTAAAACTTAATTTAACCCAACTGGGAGAACTTCGTGAGAATTAACGTTTTGCGTCTTTGCCCTTATTGTCTTTCACGACTCAATATTTAATGAGTTCCTGATCATGGATGTCAGAGTAAAACTATGCTCCACAGGGCCTTCAAAGAGCTGATTTTTTGGAAATAGATCACCAGGCCTTTCTACTGATGGACTCCAACCTTGTGGTTAACTAACAGTCAAGCACATTAACCACTTGCACCTCCAAGAGACAAGGTCTAGTATGCCCAATATACAAAGAACTCTGACAACTCAATAGAAGAAGACAAATAGCCCAACTCAAATACGGAGAGAGCCTGTAACGAGCTGTTTCTGCAAAGGGCTAAACAAATGGCCCACAAGCAGATGAAAAATGCTATCATTTATCCACAACGAAATACCCCTGGCTTTAGCATGATAGCCATCCACAAACCGCATTCGCTAACATTGAGTCGATTTGGGCTCAGAGCCACCCTACAAGGGTGGGTAGAACGGCCTCTGTGGGTGTCCACAACTATGAAGTTTTACAGTCCAAAGCCCCACCTTTCTTCCCAGGAGCGACCGGCAGCATGGAGCTGCTGACCGTGCAGCTCAATGAGAAACCACTAGGCCAGCAGGCTTCCATGCGAGTAGTACGGCTGCAATGAAAACTGAAAAACAACAACCATGGAAACCTTCCCGAGTCCATTCTGACTCACGGTGACTCTGTAGGACAAGGCAGAACTGGCCCTGCGGGTTTCTGAGACTGTAGCTCTTTACGTGTGGAAGGAGGCCCATCTTTTTCCAGAAGAGCGAGCGAGCACCTGGTGACTCTTCACTGCAGACCTTGGGGAGTGCAGCCTAACTCAGAACCACTAAGCCACCAGGATCAAAGCAACAAAGGCAAGTATTTTTCAAAGGACAGACAGTAACAAGTGTTGGCCAAGACACAGAGACATCAGAACTCTCATCTACTGCAGATAGGAGTGCAGAAAGGGTGCATGCACGGGAGCAGTTCGGCAGTTCCTCAGCAAGGTACACATCAATGACGGGCTTTTATAGATGATAGCTTTTTATATGTGCATTACACGTGCATATAGTATAGCTTCGCAAGCCCACTCCTAGGTATGCGCCCAGGAGAATGAAAAGCGTTAGTCCACACCAGCATGATTAATACTGGGCAAAATTTGGCGATTAAGTGATGAGTACAATGACAAAGTGTGACCTATCCATACCATGGGATACGGACTGGCCATAAAAAGAATGAAGTCGGGATACGTGCTACCACACTGCACTGAGCACACGCAGCCAGACACGGATTGCCGCATGTGTCAGGATTCCTTTGACATGAACTGTCCCAACAGGCAAGTCTGGACAGACAGGCAGCAGGTGAGTGGGTGCCGGTGGTTGGGAGGAGGGTCTGGGGTTTCTTTTTGTGGCAATGAAACTATCCCAGAGCTGGGGAATGGTGGCGGATACACAGTGGGGAAAAGACTAGAACCCCCTGAATTAGGTAGTTCAAAATGGTGAATTCGGTGGTCGGCAAATGGCATCTGATGGAGAAAAAAGAACCACGGTGTTGAGAGACCTCAGGTCTCACTGCCATCGAGTTCACGATGACTCAGAGACCCCCAGGGGTTTCGGAGACTGACACTGCTAACGGGAGTAGAAAGCCCAGTCTTTCTCCTGCAGAGCCACTTGTGGTTTCGAATTGCCACCCATGCGCTTCAATGCATAGCCACTACACCACCAGGGCTCCGTGGTTGAAATATGGAGAAGACCACATATGGGTTTTGTCCCCTCAACAGTTTGGTTGGCATATAATTCACATATCATGCCATTCCAAAGTTCCATCACACCGAAAGGAGATGTACAAGCATCACCAGTCAGCTCTAGAACATTTTCTTCTTTCTTGTTCTCATAACCAGCTCCCCGTTTCCCTCTAAATTCCTCTGCCGTACCCCTCAGGACCTCCCCTAAGCCAGGTACTATTCCCTATAGATTCACCCATCCTGGGCCTCACATACAGAAAAGCATTAGCAAACAAACCAAACGACAATATCAGCTCACAAGAATATGAAGTAAACCAAAAGAAAAACACCTCAATCAAAAAGAACGCAGAAAATACTAAAAACTAGAGCAAAATAAAATGGACCATAAGGGAGATCCAATGATAGGGTGCGAAATTTTAACCTAACTGCATCTGCAACAATCCACTTTTCAATGCATTCTACATGTTAGCAAGGCCATGTATGTCAGTAGATGGAGAAGAGGGGAGCGAAGTTAACTTCCTTCCCCAAGTCAGCCCGGAGCACTTGTTTGCCTTGTGATCTCCCCTATGCCGTCTGTCTTAGCGCCTCCTTCCGGATCAGATGTGGCACTGTGAACTGGCTTGGCTTAGAACAGTAGGTAACACTCAGTAAGAGGATGGTATGAAGGTGAAGGTCCTGATGACCTTGTGCTCTGGTCTTTTATCCAAGTCTTGACAAGAGTTTCCCGTGCTGGCAAAAGAAAAAGGGACCCTCAGATTTTCGTCCCCAAGTTCAGAATCAGCGAATTAATGGCAGGAGGAGGCAGCTACAGCCTGGCAGCTGCAGGACCTGTGAACTCTGCTCCAAGTGTACCCTGAACACCCCCATCCAACCCAGGCTGAATGGTGTCGAATGGATTTCTCAACCATGAGACGGTCTTCCCTCAAGTCAGGCAGAGAGCAGCCTGACCGTCCAATCCCACACTGAACAGACCCACTATGGTTTGATGGTGCCAAAGAGAAATCACAGAATTTTCTAGCAGGAAGGGACTCAATCCCAGACTCCTTGTTTGAAGAGCAGCCAGGAAAGGAAGCATTGGGAATTCGCCTAGAGGAAGGCCATTGTCTTCTGGACCATTTTTGAGCACGATAGCTTCACACAGACGCCATCCTTCTGCAAGCTTCCGAAGTTCCTACTGCCCTAGATAAGTCCTAACTTTTTGAAAATGCTATCTACTAAAAACAAACAAACACACAACCCCCTTTTTATTTGCTTGAGCGTTAGGTGAAGGTTTACAAAGCAGATCATCGTTTTCATGCAAGTCTCCCAGGCGGTTTTCACCGTCCCCTTCTTGTTGGGTACGTCTTCCCCTTCACCCAAGTTAACATCTGTGTCCCCGCTAGCTGTAGGGTACACAGCTGCACCCTACTGTAACTATCCAAGTCTGTTTCTTAACAGTTGTTTTTGTTTGTATAAGAGGGCCCTCCTAGGCTTTGCAAGTTAATGCGGAGAGAAGTACGTATGATAAAGTTTCCGGAAGTCACAATCTAAAAGAGGCCGATGGCAGAGAAAGCTCCCTCACCATTTGTCCCCTGGAGGACTCTGGGCCAAGGCTTGTGCGTGGCAGCTGTACATTGCAAACAGCTAAGCGGCGAGGAACTTTACGTGTGAGCTGGAAACAAAGTTAATTCAACAATAGAATTCCAAGGGCCATCCACACATCCCAGCAGCCTCGCGGGGGTTCCCCACAACAAAGCTCATTTGCGTGTTACTTGCTCGGTGACTTTCACTGCCTGCGCTAAAAAGATCGACCCTGGAGAAAGTAGAGCACAGCACCTCTCTCGTACGCTCTATACCCAAGTCTCCTCATTTGAAGAAAATGGACCTTAAGACACACACAGCTCAGAATTTCCACCGGGCTGACAGCCAGCTGACCCATACTAGGTGATGTTTTTCCACCTTAATAATCTTAAAAAAAAAATCTTTTCACACGTATCCATCTTCTCGTTCACTTACATCTTGTGTAAAAACTGCATTCCGTGCCATGCCTGAAAGGTTCCAAAGGTGAGTTCCGTGAGCAGATTGCAACCAAGATTTCTAAAATAAGATACAAGCAAAGGGGTAGGGAGAGAGATTCTTTCAGAACGCTCACTCTTTGGCAAGGATCCCCATTTACCTACGAAATCGCACGGTAGAAGGCATGTGCTCTGAACCTATGCTTTCGTATCAACACACGTGATAGGCTGGGTACAAGACACTACATGGTAATTATGGGGATTAACAGATTCCTATTTTTCTAGAGCAGGGTTTTCTCAACCTCAGCACTACTGGCATTTTGAGCTGGGTAAAAACGTTTGCTCCAATGACTAGGAACACAGGGCAGGACCAGGCAGCACTTCTCTTGTACATGGGTCACCAGGAATGACAGCCAACGCGGTGGCAACTAACAGCATAGAATGTTAGCAGCATCCTTCGCATCCAAAGGGGAACCAGAAATGTCCCCGGACATTGTCAAATGTCCCTTGCGTACACACTCACTCCAGTTGGGAACCACTGCTCTAGAATGATTCACTCTTATCTGTGCAACACTTCTTTTTAAAATCATTTTATTAGGGGCTCCTACAACTCTTAGCACAATCCATACACACATCAATTGCCCTGTGCAACACTTCTTATACTCGACTTTGCTAGGGATGAAAAGGATTGGCTACATAACTCTGGTGGTTTCCCACGAAAGGAACTTTACTATTTCAACATGAATTGCCAAAAAAAATTTACAATGCCATTTTAAAAATTCTAACTATAATTCAGTTATATTTGTAACTTACATAAACTGCAAAAAGGGCAGTGGTTCAAATGTACGTCTTTCAATAGACTGTATTTTATTGCAGGACAAATCTCTAGGAAAAGGGAAAGATTGCCTCAATTAGTTATTTGATACCAAATTAGCAGGAATAATTGTCAGAGTTTAGAACAATATGGAGTCAGTTTGGGTCTCAACTCTAAACCTTCGTCGTGCTTAGCTAAACTTCCCGAGGCCCCGAAGCCCTGCCCTCACCTCTCCTGAGAGGCTGGCGCAGCTTCACGAGTAGAACAGCCACGGGTCTTGCTAGATTTGAAGGCGCCCTTCCTTGAGAGCAACAAAGAAGATGACCTCTTGCGGCCATATCCAAATCTAGGTTTAATGACCTTAAACGTTTTACTCCTCAGTCTAATTCTTTTGTTTTTTCTTAATCATTTTATTAGAGGCGTGTACAACTCTTATCACAATCCATCCATACATCAATTGTGTAAAGCACTTTTGTACATTCATTGCCCTCATTCTCAAAACATTTGCTCTCCGGAGACTTAAGGCCCTGGTGTCAGCTCCTCAGTTTCCCCCTCTCTCCGCTCCCCCCTCCTCAGTCTAATTCTAATGTATGGCATTAAAAAGGGACATTCTCATATTTAGATATCTGGTTCCAGATTGCTTTAATGTTTCATGAATGCAATTGCTGCCATGATACAGTGGGTGGACTAGGAAAAACAACACAGTACTGGATTTTTGTTTGAAAATACACTTTCTGGACTACACTTAGCCCTCTTACTTCCATTTCCTCCACTTTAGCCCCTCACTTTTCACCTGGATGGGTGTAACGGTCTTCGGACGAGTCTCCACTCTAGTCTCTCTCCACAGTCACGCTGAGCAGATGAACTCCCCAGTGGTTCTTAAGGACTGACATTACCTGGGGGCCGACTGAAAGCACACATTCTCCGCCCTGCTCGACTTACTGATAGAGGTGAAGTCCAGGCTCTGTGTGCAACAGGCCCTGACTCTGGTGCGGACGAAAGCTTGGGAACCAGTTGTCTTAGAGCATTGCTGTGACTATATGGGGCCCCACGATGGCGCTGCAGTCTGGCAGCCACAGGCGAGAAGAGCTGGCTCCAATTTCTTACTCTCTCCTACGTGGACCACAGACACCCAGGGCGGCTTTCAAGCCCACAGGCGACTTCCGTCCTGTGAACTGCCTTTCTCTTCCTCTCCTTTTGCAAGCTTGAAATATTCAATAACCAGTGGCCCTTCAAGGGAGGCTCTGTTCAAATGGCTTTGCTCTCCTAGCATCTTCCCGGATCAAAGTGGAAGTCCTGGCTCCTGTGCTCCAGAAACAAGGGCCCACTCTGTACCCGTATGTGTCTCTTTCTAATATAGTGTGTTTGCATCCTATTTCCGCTGAGCATGCATTCCTGGAAAGCTGGCCTAAGTTTTTCTCATCTGTGTTACATATAATGTTTAAAACTGGCAGGTGGGTGTAAAACACACTGAATAATCTTCCCGTTTTTTACTTTAAGGAATGAATAGCTAAGGGGTAAGAAAGGAAAATGACTCCACAGAAATGCAGTGTTGTTCCTTCGCGGCTCCTCTAAGCCCCTGCAGCACATAGTCTTCTAGTCAGCGCCCATGTGGCTCGAGCTTGGGTGTTTGATTCCCCTGCCACATCGAGTACCTAGAAAGGCAGGGCCCCTGTGCTCAGGCGTCTTTGTACTGCCAGCCCTAGGCATGGTGCTTAGCATACTGTTTGTTAACTTTTTTTTTAATTGGCATGTCATTTGAAAATTGACAATAATACACCAATGAGCATGAAATAACTAGCTCACAAAGCATTTCAAAGTAGAGCAGTTGGTTCATTTGTTTTTCTCCAAATTGTGCTTGCAAGGTTTGGGAGCCCAGATGCCAGAGATGCCCAAGATCCCTGAAATACTGGTCTTGCCCTGAAGGCCTACAGGGGTTGATATTTACAGAGCTATTTTGAGTATCATGGTGCTGAAGGAAGAAGTTCAAAGTGCGCGAATAAAGGCATTAGCCAAAAACAAGGCTCCAGGAATGGATGGAATCCCATGAAAATGTTTCAGAAAGTTGAAGCAGCACCGGAAGCCCTCGCTTCTCCGCCAGGAAACGTGGAAGGCAGCTCCTTGGCCAACTGACCGGAAGAGGTCCATCTTGATGCCCATTCCACAGAAAGGTGACCCAACAGAATGATCAAACTCTAGAACACTGTCATTTGATACCACACACAAGTACAATTTTACTTAAGCTCATCAACCACGGTTGCAGCAGCACATCGACAGGGAACTCCAGAGTTCAGGCCAGACTGAGAAGACGACGTGGAACAAGGGGCATCATGATTGGTGTCAGATGGATCTTGGCTGAAACCAGAAAGATGTTTACCTGCTTGTGTTTCACCGACTATGCCAAGGCATCCGACTGTGTGGACCATAATAAACTGTGGATCCCCTGGGGAAGAACGGGAATTCCAGAACCCTTCACTGCGCTTGTACATGGGTTAGGAGGAGAACAGAACAAGGAAGTGCTGCATGGTTTAAAATCAGGAACGGTGTGTCAGGGTTGTATCCTCTCACCAAATTTATTCAATCTGTGTGCTGAGCAAATCACCAGAGAAGCTGGATTCTATGAAGAAGATGCGGCATCAGGACTGGGAGAAGGCTTATTAACAATCTGCGGTATCCAGATGACGCAAAATGCTGAAAGTGAGGCGGAATTGAAGCACTTTCTGATGAAGATCAAGGATTGTAGCCTTCGGTATGGATTACAACTCCATGTAAGGAAGACCAAAACGCCTAACAACTGGACCGAGAAGTAACATCATGATAAATAAATGGACAAAAGGTAGACGTTGACAAGGATTTTGTCTTACTTTGATCCACAATCAATATTCATGAAAGCAATGGCAGAGAGATCAAAAGACGTCGTGCATCAGACCTCTTTAGAGTATTAAGGAGCAAGGATGTTGGAGGACCTGGGTGCGCCTGATCCAAGTCATGACACTCCGTTGCATCATGTGCATGTGAGAGTTGGACACTGAATAAGGAAGCCCGCGGAAGAATCCGTGGATTTGATTTGTGGGCTAGAGAAGAATCTTGAAAGCACTGTGGACTGCTAAAAGGATAAACTGGTCTGTCTTGGAAGAAGTAAGGCCAAGTGCTCCTTAGAAGCAAGGGTGGCAAGACTTCATCTTAAAGACTTTGGACATATGGTCAGGAGAGACCAGTCCCTGGAGGACATCATAGTTGGTAAAGGGGACGGGTGGCGAAAAAGAGAACAAAGTAAGGCCCTCAACGAGCTGGATTAGCACAGTAACTGCAACACCGGGTCCGGCATAGGGACAAGTGTGAGGCTGGTGCAGGACCGGGCAGTGTTTTGTTCTGTCGGGCACAGAGTTGCTACAGGTCCGTGCCCACTCCATGGCATCTAACAACAACGAGACTTTTTAATCCCCACTTCCCTTAAGCCTTCTAACATGTAAGGAGGGTCCATTTGCTAATGAGGATCATTAACTAGCTTCAGTCAGTCAGTCAAGTCCATGCCGACTCATAGTGACCCTACAGGACAGGGTAGAACTGCCCTGTGACTCTACAGGAATAGAAAGCCTGGTCTTTCTCTTGAGGAGTGGGTGGGTGGTGGTTTCGAACTGCGAACCTTGTGGTTAGTAGACCTTCGTATGGGTTAATGATGCACCTAGCTTTAGACTTCATGAACAAAGAATAAAAATCGAGCGTTTGACAGATTATCTCCTTATCTCTAAATAGAGATAAATATTACACAGGTATTTCCTCTTTGGCAAAAGGGCTGGAGAGACTTGTATTTCGTATTTAGCAAAGGGTTAGGAATATTTCTGATACGCTGACTTAGAGGAAACCTTTCTAACGCTACTACTTGCCCATACTTAAAACATTTATTTGTGATATGGTGAAACAGTTCCTGCACTGAAATCCTTAATACCAGCCTCTTCCCTCAGTTGTTAGATATGTTCTTTATAATACTGTTTAAATAATCCACCTGTTGCATGACATATTTGGATGTTAAATTAAGTTATTGAAAACGTTGGGGCTAATGCTATTCAAATTCATGAAGGCATTCTATATTCACTTGTTCTTCAGGCAATAAAGAGAGCTTAACTTTTATTCCTCTGATTTGATTAAACCAGTTGTTCCATGTGTTTCCTGAAGGCCAGACAGTAAGTATTTTAGGCTTTGCCAGCTGCAAAGAGCCTTTGTCGCATGTTCTTCTTGCTGTTCTCTACAACTTTTAAAAATGCAAAAATCCTTAGTTTATGGGCTCGGTAAAAGCGGACCATGGACTGCAGACTGACTACCAACCGATGGATACTGACATTGGTAACACAGAGTTCATATGGGGGCCTATAATTACTTAGAGTCTATTTCCACTTTTCTTCTCTAACTGAAGCCCCCCCACACACACACACCTATCTGTATCTTGTCTCTATAATTAAAAGTGGAAATGCACAGGAGGTATTTAATGCTAGAGATGAGCTGGGCCCTTACAGACTTACAGAATTGCAGGAAACACATTCAGATTAGATGATCTAATCTAAGCTTCTTACTCGGAAATAAATATGATGATAACTTACAAATACTGGAGAGATAGCAGGCCTTCAAATGAATCCTTATGTAATTCGCTCAGATAATTATCACTGAAAATTCTGGAAAAGGAAAAGGTTATTTGTGCATCAAAAATGCCAAAGACAACCATCTGATACATAGGGCTATTCTATAAGGGCGGGGCCTGGGCACTGGTGCCCCCTCAACACCCGAGTTTGAATTGAATTAGCTTTGGTTCAAACCTTTCTTCTCATGTCATCCTCTGTGTCCATTGCTCCATCCTCCACCCTGCCCCCACCCCATTCTTCCACCCCATCCCCAGGACCCCCAGCCATCCACTCTTCCCACCAAACCATATCTTTAGATATTAGAGCTCAGCTCTGGTTGGCACCAAGATTGGCGGAACTGCCATTTCCCTGACTCTTTTCCAAAGCCTCGGATTGGAAGGCACACCTGGAACGGCGTCAGGGCTGCATGTGAAGTTCTTTGATTCACTCCCCCTTGAAAACAGCTTTTGAGGACTCAAACATAAAGTATAGAAAACATAAGTGCTCCCCTTAATCATTTTAAGCACCACATGAACGCCATTCAACTATGCTGCCCAATATGATAAATACAGGTGCGGCTGCCGTGCAGGTGGCTGGGGCTGGTGGCTGGTCCGAGCTGCGATGCGCTGTAAGTGTAAAACGCAGGCCAGAGCTCCAAGATTCAGTACCCAACAAAGTATAGACAGCTCGCTGATATTTTCACATTACATTCTGAAATGGTATTATTGAGTTAAATAAAATTTAGGATCAAATGTATAGAATAAGAGATTAGAGTGAAATATTTAAAATGTTGAAAGGAAAACAAACAAACAAACAACCTCCCACCAACCTAGGATTCTGTGCAGTGAAATTATTCAACAAGAGCAAATGAAGAGGATGTGTTGGCAGCAAACCTGCCTTGCCTTGCCTTGTAGGAAGTGTTACAAGAACTTCTTCAGTGAGAACAAAATTGATACCGGTTAGATCCTCAGCTCTATGTAAAGGAGTACTCAAGAAGGAAAAATGAAGGAAATGAAATTCTTTTTCATTTCTGATCCCTAACTGGCTAGACAGATAACAGGTTGATTAAAACAATAATAGCAACAACAGACTGCATGACGGCAGCTTACGGATGAGTGAAATGTTTTTGACAGCAATGTGTTTGAAAGCAGACTTAGATAAATGCATACTGCAAACTCTAGGGAAACCACTGGGAAAAATTAAGTATAATTGACATACTAAGGGAAGAGAGAAAACGAAATCAAACAATTAAAACCAGACAAAGCAAAAAAAAAGCCCAAAGAGAAAATTGCAAATATAAACCTATTGTACGGCCTGCCAAATAAATTCTGACTCGTTAGGACCCTTCAGGACTGAGTAAAACTGCTTTCCAGGATTCACAGCGTTTCTGAGACTGTACTTTTTTTTTTTTTAAGACTATCAATTTTTATAGGTTCAGCCTCATCTTTTCTCCCAAGGAGCAATTGGTGGGTTTGAACAAATGACCTTTCTGTTAGCAGTTCAGTACTTAACTCACTGCAACAAAGTTTAGTTATATCTATAATAACTTAAGTGTGAATTGTCTAAGTGTATCAAATAAAAGAAGCTAAGAGTGGATTACAAAAAAACAAACAAAACACACACACACATACCCAAAAACCAAGCCCCAACTGTAGCTTGTCAATTAGAAACCTCCTTTAAATATAAAAGACACAGTTAGGTTAAAAGTAATAGGATGGGGAAAGATCTATCATGCAAACACTGATCAAAAGAAAGCTGGAGTAGCTCTGTTCATTTCAGATGATGTAGATTTCAGACATTACAAAAATGTGTATGAATTGCTAAATGGGAACCGATAAGCTCTGTGAATCTTCACCCAACTCACAGTAAAAGTTTTGTGGGTTTTTTTTTTTTTCAAGAGAGAACTTACAGGGTATTAAAAAGCAATAAAGGAATCACTTCTGAGATATAACAACCCTTAATGTATGCGCTAACAAGAGAGCGTCAACGCTGATTGACCTGCATGAAGAAAGAGACAAGTCCACTCTTAGAGTTGGAGACATTAAGATCCCTCTCCTAGCAATTGATATGGAGCCCTGGTGACATAGTGAGTTAAGAATTGGACTGCTGAACGCAAGATTGGTGGTTCAAGTCCACCAGCTGCTCTGCAGAAGGAAGATGAGGCTGTCTGCTCCTGTAAAGATCTACGCCTCCTTAGGTGGAAAGCAAATGTTTTGAGAAGGATGAGGGCAATGAATGTACAAATGTGCTTTACACAATGGATGTATGTATGGGTTGTGATAAGAGTTGTATGAGCCCCTAATAAAACGATTTAAAAAAAAAAAAAGATCTACGTCTCAGAAACCCTAGGGAGTAGGTCTACTCTGTCCCGAAGGGTTGCTGAGTCTAATCAACTTGATTGCCATGGGTTTTGTTCTGTTGAGGCTGCTATCAGTAATTGATAGATCACGGGTAGAAAATTAATAAGGACTATATTTGAGTTGGACAGCAGTACCAATGAACATTCATAGGGTAGCTTATCCGGCAGCAGCAGCCGCTTATGTTCTTTCCAAGCGGAAAGGGACATTTGCCAAGATAAACCATATCCAGGGTCCGAAACACCCCTTACTCAACTTAAAACAATGGAAATCATTGCCGAGAGACCCAGGGGATAAAGAATGAACCACCGGAAATGAACACGCCCAGAGGGCACCAGCCCCTTTTCACCCTCTTCTCCCAACTCCCAAGGAGCTGGAGGCAGAGACGCAGGGCAGGGAAGCAGAGAAGCAGCCAGCTTGGTCCCCTCTCCACACGTTGGCCAGCTTCTAAGTTAAACTAAAGGCCCAGGCTGGGGGAAGGGCGAAGTTTTAAGTTCATGGAGCGTATGGACCTCTTTTATTGAGACGCTGGGACTGAAACTCAACACGGCTCTTATGACTGAGCGTCACAGAGGAAGTCTATTATCGGGGCGATTGGAAGGTATAGAGCTCCCCAAGTTTCACCCATGAGATTCCACCCACCGGACTAGGACCTGTTCCTGTCCCCTCAAAAGAAAAGCAGTGCTCCAATAAACATTCTTGCCTTGAGATAGATAGATGATAGATAGATAGATAGATAGATAGATAGATAGATAGATAGATAGATAGATAGACAAATCAATTATAAAAACAAATAGGCAATAAGCCTATTCTGCTACATGCAAACATGGATGTAGGTAAATGTAGGGAAGAGAGTTTAGATTAGGCTAAACACCAACCTCAGAGAAACAGTTTCTTCAGGAGTGGGGGATTAGGGAACAATAAGGGGTTGGACTATACCTTGCATTTCCATTTTAAACCTTGAAAATAGAATTGTTTATCACGCACTGTCATGGAGTCAATCCCAACTCACAGCAACCCTTTAGGAAGGGCAGTCTAGAACTGCCCCTGGGTTTCTGAGGCTACAACTGTTTACGGGAGTAGAAAGCCTCATCTTTCTGCCTCAGAGTGGCTGGTGGTTTCAAACTGCTGATGTTACAATCAGCAGCCCATCACTTAACTCATGGCTCCTCAGAATCACGTGTGGCTTGTAAAATAAAACGTCAATTTAAATACCTCTTACTGAAAGAGGGCCCACCACATGTAAATGTTTTCAATGCCGCAGAACGGTCTCGATGGAGGTGGATGGGGGATGTGGAGAGTGCTCGAGAGAGATGGACCTCGACAATGTGGACCGAGAGGGGACTGACACAGAGGCCCCTGCCATACGCTTCACGGGTCGCTCTCCTCCCGTTTGGATAGGATGTACTCACAGTCTCTCGGTCCAGCGGTATGCCTTCCAAATATCTTCATCGATATAAGAAATAGAATTTCCTTGGAAGTTTCTGTGAAGAAACAGTTTATATCTTTGACTAGGTAGGAAGAAGAAAGGGCAGAGTAAGTATAAAGAATCATGACAAGCCTTTGGGGTATAGTCCAATGCACAAAGGAAAACAAAAATCAGCTTTCTCATGTCCTTGGCTGTCAGCTGCCCAAGTTGGCTCAATTAATAATAATAATAATAATTTTTAAAAGACTGGTAGAGGGAGGGAGGGAGGCAGTGGCACAAACAATAAGGCCAGCCCCTCGGAAGCTGAACTGCCTATGTTTGGTTGCTTCTCCATCCGCAGCAGCGGCAAATATGTAGAAAGAAAATGCATACCAGGCAGCCTCACAGCTTTGGCCCAGAGTCTTCTAGGGAACCTTCTCTGGGGGTTGGGAGACTAAGGGAATTTAGAGATGAGCGGGACTCATGTACCAGGGTGGGAAAGATCTCTTAGACCTAGATCTGGCTTAGTGAAAAAAATTACAAACCACTGAGCAAGAAATATGACATCACTAGAAACAAACAAAAGTGTATAAACACATCTATGTATGTAAATGCAAAGGGAACAGACTAGAAAGGCCTTATCAGAAAATGACGGCAAAGCTGACCTTACCAGTCAGAGAGGAGGGGTGGGAAGGGGGAAAGCGGGGCAGATTTTCCACCTTTTATCCTGTCTACTTCTGTGACCCTTCACGTCATCATTAGACAGTGGGAAGGGATCCACAAGTGGCACGTGCTTAAGATAAACTGTTAAATGCCCAAGGTTCAGTCACCACCACTAACCATGGTGATGGCTTTGAATCGTGACCTTTCACTCTGTCCTCTTCCCTCAGCAAGTGTACCTATTCAAGGTATACTGTTAAATAGGTGACATTTGCGATAAAACGTAAGTTCTCTTGCCTGTCTGTGGCTGTTCCCTTTCTGCTCTCCAATGAAAGGTGCCTGACATAGAATCGGTCTTCCTTAAATGGACAGGCTACCTCATTTCCGTCTGTGTGGTCCCCCGTCATCATTCTCCTCACCAACCGGGACAGAACACTGAGAGTCCTATTTGAGGTTTTGGCTCTGCTCTTTACCTCTCTTCCTCAATTAATCACAAAGAATTCTAAACAATCCTCCTGTTTTAATTATTTATCGTTCTTGCTTGAAAACTTCCAATAGGTCTCCCTAGGGCCACTGTGAGTCGGCAGGCCTCCCTACCATGGCAGTGAGATCCGATACCTAATGCTTTTCACCACCTTATTTTTCACCGTTTCCTAACCCAATTCTTGGCAGTCAGACTGGTCCATTACATCCTGACTGTTTCTGCCACCATGCCTTGGCCCAGGCTCAGCTCCCTGTTTGTCTGTGTCAAAACTTCCAGTCATTCTTTAGGGTAAAGCTCAATCTTGACCATGAGGCTTTCTCTGACCTCCCCATACCAGTGATGATGGGTTCCGGTGGACTATTGTACCTGTGGTCTGCATCTCTTTTAGTACTTAATTATTGATCATTTCCTTTTTGCGAGTCTATTCCTTTTCTCCTGTCATTATCCTCATATTTCCAAATTAATATCTTGTACATCTGCAGCTCTCAGAACTTAGCTCTGAATTGAGCATATCACAGGTACTACATGCTCTGTGGGCTCACACCTAACAATACCTGTGAGGCTGGTGCAGGACCAGCCATGGGCATGGGGACACTATGAGATGGAGCTGACTGGAGGCACCTAACAACAACAATGTATGAAAGCCAAGGACAAAGATGAGGCCTGGACAGGATTGAGGGACCAAAACCAACAATCGCTAACCCTCCCGTCTACCCTAGGCACTGATGCAAATGCTTCACGTTTCTGAGCTTACTGAAGTCTCACCGTAATTCTAGGAGATAATACTTTTCTGGCTGAGGACACTGAGTCACAGAGCAGAGTTTAAACCCCAGCTCTCCTGTTCACCACTTTGCTGTATTGTCACCAATGCAATGGACAGAGAAACATGCTCCTGTGAAGAGGATGGAACAAGATTTGGACTTGAGCAGAGGTTAAGGCATGAACACTAGCCAGAGACCAGAGGAACTAGCTGGTGCCCAGCTACCACTACGGCCACTCTGACCATACTACCAGGTCCTAGACAGGCCTATAAAGTGCACGATAACACCCAGAAAAAAAAATTAATCACCTGTGGCCAAAAGGGCAGCATTTGCCCCCTTCAAAAAAGCTGAGGAGGTAGGAAGGGGCAGAACAGGTGGGCAAACGGAAACAGGAAATCAGGGAAGAAGTGGGCGGAGCTGTTAGTGAGGGGATCACAACTACTGTCATGAAACAAAACGTGGATAAATTGTTGAATGGGAAACTAATTTGCTCTGTCATCTTCCACCCAAATCACACACAAAAACATTTTTTTTTCACAGGTAGGGGCAACTATTCTGGGTAATCACAGGGAAGAAGTGGAGAGGTGGACACAGTAGTCGGGAGAAGCATGGGAATATCGGGAGACACACAAGGCACGAAAGAAAGTCAGTAAACTGGGGAGAGAAGATGAGGAAGCCCAGAAAGCCCCCAAGGCAGAGACCAAATGAACAAAGGCAATCCTTACAAGACTGTGAAGGTGCCGTTGTACACGCTGGGCTCCGGCATCGGCACGTGGTGGAGCCTCCTCTCCGAGAGGAGGCCGGTACAGGACAGGGTCTCATCTTGGCAAATACAGAGCTCACATACGTCCACATTCGTTCTGCTGGAGGTGCTCGGCTCCCATTGCGTTGGTACCTCTTTGGGGGTGTACTGTCTGATAGTTGACCGTTCTGAGTACATCGTTAAAGTCACCTGCTCCCTCTCTGGGAGGCTGTGTGTGGTGGCAGTCTGTCTCTCTTGCTCAGCTGGAGTGTGCCCGCTTTCAGAAGACATTGAGACGTGCTGACGCAGGGAAACAGCTTCCTCAGACCATTCCGGTGGTGGAGTGACCAATTCCGGTTGTGGAGTGACCAGTTCTGGTAGTGGAGTGACTGATTCCGGTTGTGGAATTACCGATTCCGGTTGTGGAATTACCGATTCTGGTAGTGGAGTGATCGATTCTGGTAGTGGAGTGACCGATTCCGGTTGTGGAATTACCGATCCTGGTAGTGGAGTTAGCGATTCCGGTAGTGGAGCTTCCAATTCCGGTTGTGGAGTTACCGTAAACTCTAGCTCCAGAGGGTGAACTGTAATTGGCTTGGGAGGAGCTGGGGTCACCTGCGGGGTTGTAGCAGGGTTCACCACCTCTGTACCGGGTTCTGGAGAGACAGTAATCCATATATCCCCAGACTGACTTGAGGCTTCCTTTAGAGGTGCTGGGGTCAACTGCGGGGTTGTAGCAGGGTTCACCTCTGTAACGGGTTCTGGAGGGATGGTAAGCCATATATCCCCAGACTGACTTGAGGCTTCCTTTAGAGGTGCTGGAGTCATCTGCGGGGTTGTAGCAGGGTTCATCTCTGTAGCGGGCTCTGGAGATACAGTAAGCCATATTTCTCCAGACTGACTTGAGGCTTCCTTTAGAAGTGCTGGGGTCAACTGCGGGGTTGTAGCAGGGTTCACTTCTGTAACGGGTTCTGGAGGGATGGTAAGCCATATTTCTCCAGACTGACTTGAGGCTTCATTTGGAGGTGCTGGGGTCACCTGCGGGGTTGTAGCAGGGTTCACCACCTCTGTACCGGGCTCTGGAGATACAGTAAGCCATATTTCTCCAGGATGACTTGAGGCTTCGTTTGGAGGTGCTGGGGTCACCTGCAGGGTTGTAGCAGGGTTCACCTCTGTAACGGGTTCTGGAGGGATGGTAAGCCATATATCCCCAGGCTGACTTGAGGCTTCGTTTGGAGGTGCTGGGGTCATCTGCGTGGTTGTAGCAGGGTTCACCTCTGTAACGGGTTCTGGAGGGATGGTAAGCCATATATCCCCAGGCTGACTTGAGGCTTCCTTGGGAGAAGCTGTGGTCATTTGTGGGGTTGTAGCAGGGTTCACCTCTGTGAGGGGTTCTGGAGAGACGGTAAGATCCACATCTGAAGTTTGAGCTGTGACTTGTTTGGGAGATGGTCTGGTTTCCTGCAGGGTCACAGAACCCTCAGTCTTTGAAGTGAATCCGGAAGTTACGCCAAGTTCCAGGTCCACAGGTAACACGGTAGCTTCCGTCAGGTTTGGGTGCTGAGTTTGAACTTGGCCTGCAGTTGGAAACGTCACCCTGGGACTCTCTGGAGAGGCTGTGACTTCTGGAGTTATACCAAACCCCAGCTCCACAGACGTAACTGTCACCCTGGGTAAGTTTGAATACTCAGAGAGATTTTGATCGGTGGGTGGCACTGTCACCTCCTCGTGCATTGGAACTTGAGTTCCAATCTCCTCAAGTGACTCTGGGGGCTGAGTGGGGATCTCTTGGCTGGTTGGGGAAGGTTCAACCTCGGTTTGGGATTCCGTAGTTATGGTGAGCTCCAGATCCACAGGCTTAAGGGTGACACCGGGCAAGGTTGAATACTGAACACTATCTTGACCTGGAAACTTTGAAACCGACACCTCTTGACGTGCTGGAGAGTGAGCTACAACCCACGCGGGACTCTCTGGAGGCTGGCTTGCAGTCTCCTGCCTGGCTGGAGTCAGCTCCACCTCCGTATTGGGTTCTGGAGATATGGTAAGCTCCAAGTCCAAAGTGGGAATTGTGACTTGGTTTGGAGCAGCAGCCGCGGTCTTTGGTGGCGTTGTAGAATATCCAACCTTGGTCACGGGTTCTGCAGCTAGGGTCAGGTCCAGATTGCCAGGCCTTTCTGTGACTTTGGGCAAAATTGAATAATACGTTTGACCCTGACTTGGGGATGGAGATGGGGTCTCCTGTTGGGTTGGAGAAGGCTCAACCTCCATGTTGGGTTCTGGAGTGAGAGTGGCCCCCAAGTCCGGTGGTCGGACCAGGACTTCAGGCAGGTATGGCAGCTTGGTCTGAACCTGGTCTGGTTGCACAAATGTCACCTCAGGGTACATTGAAGGAGGAGGTGTAGTATTCTGCAAGGTTGTAGACTGTTCACGTGATACGGTGTGTTCTTCAGTCACGGTAAGCATCAGGTCCATAGGTTGAGCGGTGGTGCTTGGCAAGTTTAAGTGCTCAGCTTGGTACTGACCTGTTGGTAAAACTGTGACCTCATCAAGTACTGGATATTGAGCCACCCCTTCCTTCGGAGGCTGTGTTGGAGCTTCCGGCTGGATTGAAGTTTCCACCTTATTAGGGGGCTCAGGAAGCTGATATGGAGAAGGTTCCGTCTCCTTAGGGGGCTCTGGAGTCGGCATGTTGCTCTTCGGCCAGAATGGAAAAGGCGGGACTTCTATGGGCTCTGGGGGTTCCTCTTGCTGGATAGGGAAAGGCTCAACCTCCTTAGAGGGCTCTGGAGGGGTGGTCGTCGAGGCTGCCTGCTGGGCTGGAGATGGTTGGACATTCTCAACAGGCTCTGGAGGTAGAGCTGGAGCCTCCTGCTGCACTGGAAAAGGTTCTAACTGTAGAGGGGTCTCAGAAGATGGAGCTGGGGCTCCTTGCTGGGCAAGAGAAGGCTCGGCCTCTTTTGGAGGCTCTGGAGGCTGAGACGGGACCTCCTGATGATTTGGGCCCTTTTCCACCTGAGTAGCATACTCTGGAGGAAGAAGTGGGGTCTCCTGCTGAGAAGGCTCTCCCTGAACAGACGATTCTGGCGGTTGCGTCAGTGCCTCCTGCGGACTGGGAGCAGGTTCTTCCTTCTCCACAGGTTCTGGAAGACGAACTAGGGTTTCCTGCTGGACTGAAGAAGGTTCGACCTTTTCCGGGAGCTCCGGAAGCAGCGGTAAAGCCTCTAATTGGGTTGGGGAAGGGTGAGTCTCGGTAGTGGGTTGTGCCGTGATAGTAAGCTCCACGTCCGCGGGTTTACCTGTGACACTGTGCAGCACGGAATGGTGAGATTCGTTCTGACCCGTAAGTAAAACTGTCACCTCGGGATGCCCCGTATGCTGAGCTACCACCTCTGTAGAGGGCTCTGACGTCTCCGTGGGGACCTCCAGCATGTTTGCAGGGAGTTCATACTCTTCAGGTTGCTCTGGAAGCTGAGTTGGAGCTTCCTGCTGGCCTGCAGGACCTTGGGCCTCTTCAGTGGCATCTGCAGGCCTTGTGGGGCCCTCTTCCTGGACTGGAGACGGTCCAATCTGGTAGGAGGAGGTAGGAGGCTCTGAAGGCAGAGCCAGGGCTTGAAGTGATCCAAACTCCTCGGTGGATTCTGGAGGCTGTGATGAGTCCTCTTGATGGTCTGGAGGAGTTTCTTCCTCTGGAGGATGCTCTGGAGTTTGAGCTGAGGCCCCCAACTGACTTGGAGAAGGTTCGCCCTCTTCAAGGGGCTCTGGAGCTTGAGATGTGGCTTCTTGCTGGACCGGAGGAAGTCGAGCGTCTGTACTAGGTTTAGTTATGACAACGGTCACATCTGGAGAGTGAACGGTGACACCATGCAGTGGGTGCTCTGCTTCATTTGGATCTGGAGGTGAAACCATCACCTCATGATACCCTCCCGATGGTGTGACCAGCTCTGTAAAGGGATCTGAAGATTGAATTAGGTTCTCTTGCCGGACTGGGAAAGCTCCAACTCCCTCAGTGGGTCCTGGAGAGAGACGTAGGGCCTCCTGTTGGGTTATGGAAGTTTCATCCTCATTGATGGGATCCGGGGGCTGAGCCGAGTCATCCAGTTGGATTGATGAATGTTCAACCTTCTCAAGGAGCTCTGGAGGCTGAGTTGGGTCCTCCTGCTGGGTTTGAGAGATCACAACCTCCTTATTGGGAAAGTTAGGCGGTGGTGGGTCCTCTGGCTCAACTAGAAGATGCTGGGATTCATCAGGGGGGTCTGGAGGTTGGACTGCATGCTGCTGGTGGGCTGGAGAAGGTTGGGAATCGTCAGGTGGATCTGGAAATTGATCTGCGGCTTGCTCTTCCATTGTAAAAGGTCCAATCTCCTCAAGGAACTCTAGATGCTGAATTGGGGCATCCCGCAGTGTTGGAGAAAGTTCCACCTCAGGTTTAACTGATACTTTAGGTAAGACTGAATGCTGAGCTTTAGGATGACCTAGATGTTGAAGTGCTGCTTCATCACGCAGTGAAGGAAACACTAAACCCTTCTTGCGGGGCTCTGGAGGCTTAGCTGGGTACTCTTGCTGGGTAGCAGGTCTCGCCCTCTGAGGAGGATGTGGAGGGTGAACTAGGACATCACGCTGGATTGGATATGACTGGGTATCTTTAGTGGGCTCTGAGGTTATAGTGAGCTGCAGATCGGTCAGTTTAGCTGTAACTCTGGGGAAGCTTGAAAGATGAGGCAGATTCTGACCTGGTCGTGGAAGCTCATGACTCATGGGAGTTTGAGCCAGAACCCTTTTAGGAGGCTCGAGAGGTTGAGCTGGGGCCTCCTGGTGGACTGGAGAAGGTCCAATGACCACAGGAGGCTTAGCAGTATGAGCAGGGACCTCTTTCTGGTATGGAGGACGTTTGATTGCCCCCGAGGGCCTTGAAGGCTCACATGGAAATTCCTGGTGGCTTAGGGAAGGTGCAATACCCTCACAGGGTGTTGGGGGCTCTACTGGAGCTACAAGTTGGGTTTGAGGTTTCACCCGGGGAGGCGTTGGGGCTCCCTGCTGGACTGGAGGGCACTCCTCAGAGGGCACTGGAGGAAAAGCTGCAGCCTGCTGCTGGACTGGAGAAGTGCCAACTTCCTCTACAGGGTTTGGAAACTGCTCTGGAGCTTCCTGCAGGACTGGAAAAGATTCCACAAGTCTTGGTGGCTGTGCCTGGGTTTCCTGAGGCACTGAAGGTTTACACTCCTCGGGGAGCTCCGGCGGAGGAACTGGGGCCACCTGCTCTGTGGTTGGTTTAATTTCTTTGATGGGCGTTGGAGGCTCAGTTGGAAGCCTCAGCCGGTTTGGAGAGGGTTCCATGCTCTCAGGAGGCTTTGAAGGGTGTGTTTGAACTTCATGATGTTCTGAAGAAGGTCTCGCTTCCCCCGGGAACTCTTGAGGGCAATCTGATGCCCCCTGCTCAGTTAGAGGAGGTTTAACTTCATGGGGAGGGCTAGGAGCCTCTGCTGGGGCTTCTTGCTGGTCTGGAGAAGGTTCCACCTCCTCAGGGAACTCAGGAGGGGGAGCTGGAAGCTCCTGCTGGCCCAGAAAAGGTTCGATATCCTCAGGGTGCTCTTGGGCAGGGGTTGCAGCTTCCTGCTGGACTGGGTAGGATTCCACCTCCTCAGGGCACTCTAGAGAGGAACCTGGAACCTCCTGCTGGACTGGAGAGGGCTCCTCCGGGTGACCTGGAGGAAGAGCTGGGGTTTTGTGCTGGCCTGGAGAAGGTGCAGCATTCTCAAGAGAAGGAGCTGGAGCCTGCTGGACTGGAGATGGTCCAAACTCTTCGGGACACTCTAGAGACGGACCTGGGGCTTCCTGTTGGACTGGAAACGCTTCCACCTCCTCAGGGAATTCTGAAGTCTGACCTGGGACCTCCTCCTGGGTTGGAGGTCTCAACTCCTGTGGGCGCACTGGAGGCTGTGTTGGGGCTTCTTGCTGGATGGGAGGTGATGCAACCTCCTCTGGGCATTCTGGATGTAGAGCCCCCGGGGCCTCTTGCTGAGTTGGAGAAGGTCCCATCTCTTCAGAGGGCACTGGGTGATGAGCTGCCGCCTCCTGATATGCTGGAGAAAGTCCCACCTCTTCAGAGAGCATTGGGTGATGAGCTGCCGCCTCCTGATATGCTGGAGAAAGTCCCACCTCTTCAGAGAGCATTGGGTGATGAGCTGCCGCCTCCTGATGGGCTGGAGGTCCCACCTCCTCAGGGGGCATTGAAGGCTGAGATGGAGCCTCCTGCTGGCCTGGAAAAGGTCCAACCTCCTGAGGAGGCTCTGTTGGAGCTTCCTGATGGATCGGAGCAGGTCTCGAGTCCCCTAGAGGTTTTGTTGGCTGCGCGGGGGCTCCTTGCTCGACCTGGACAGGTTCAAGCTCTTCAGAGGGCATTGAAGTTGAAGGTATGGATTCCTGCTGAGTTGGAGGTTTGGCCTCCTGGGGATGTTTTGGTGGCTGTGCGGGGGCTTCTTGCTGCGTCGGACACGACTCAGCCTCCTTAGTGGGCTCTGGAGTTACAGTAAGCTCCATATCCGCGTGTTTAATCGTCACATTGGGTAAGGTTGAATGAGGAGCCAGATGGTGGCCTGGAGGTTCGAGAGTCACCTCACGAGGCACAGTCCAGTGCTTCCGCTGGGTTTGAGACGGCCCACTCTCCCCAGGTACCTCGGAAGTATGATCTGGGCTCCCCTGCTGAGGGTGGCCTAGGGACAGATTTGAGTCCTGGTGATGAAGGGGCCCTTGTTGGGAGGAAGATTGCTCCTCCTCGGGAAGCTCAAGGTCTTCCAATTTGGGCAGAGCAGGCTCCAGTTCATTCTCCTTAGGGGGTTCTGCAGGATGATCTGGGGCCCCTAAGAATCCCAGAGGGAGGGTGTCTTGAGGGTACTCTATATCCACACTTGGATCTAGGAGATAATCATCCTTGGGTTGGTCTAGTTGGTTAGACAGCTTTCCAAATGGGCCTGACGTCCCCACACCCACCTTAGCAAGCCGTCTATGCTGAACTAGGCCTTTTTTCGGGTTTGGGGTTGTAATAAACTTAGTTGGTTTAGAACTGTGACTATCTAGGGTTGGAACAATTAAGTCAAATGACTGATGACCTTCAGCCCGAGTCATACCTGGCGTGTGGATCTTACTTTGGGGTCCAGGAGAGACAGCTACAGCCTGATTCTCATCCCAATCTAGCATTGGGACCACCTTCGGGAGCTTCAGATGTCCGGTTGGATCAGGCAGGTCGTACTGTGCGCCGGAAAATGGATTCGGCCTTAGGGGCAGCTCGGGGTCCGAATCCGTGTCAAAATTCTCAGGGAACTCTTGAGGCTGCGCCAACATCTGGACCGGAGCCGAGGAGTCCACGTAGTCAAAGCCCCCCGGATCGGGCGGCGGGGTAAGCGTCTGGGGCGATTCGGGTGGGTGGTCAGGGTCGGGCGAAGACCAGAGTTCCTGCAGCCCGGGGGGCTCGGAGGGCAGCTGGTCCAGGTCCGAGGCTGACTCTGGGGGCTGGGCTGCCGGGACCAGCAGCCACAGCGGCTGCAGCGTGAGTAGGAGCCAAGAGGCCCAGAGGCGCTGCAGGGACATGACATGCGGAGGCTCGGGGCGCCCGGGTGGCGCCCTTCGCAAGAGCGGAACCATTATGGGGGCGCTCCACGCATGCGCACCGTTGACTGGCGCGCCCCACCCCCCCGGGCCCCACCCTTTATTTACGACAGAAGCCTTTGTTTACGCACCACCTTTATTAACTCAGAGAACCTGCCCAGGCCACGATGGCCACTAGCCTTTTTCCTCGAACCACTGGGGCCCTGGCCAAGTGACAGATTCCATGTCCCCCCACCAGGCAGGATTAGGGATGTGCGTCCTCGGGCTCCGGCTCCAGCAGCCCCCCTCAGCCCCAAGTGCTAGCCCGTGTCTGGCAGCCGTAGCGCGGCGTCCTCCACACCGAGATGCGGACAGTCTTCCTCCCCGCGGCCGTCCTGCTCCAAAGGAAGGGACCTGTTAGGCCGGCTAAGAGGCTCTCCACTCCCGTGGCGAGTTCCAGCCTCGGACACCCGCAGGAGCAGCGCCACCGGGCCTGCAGGGTCGCTGCGGGTCGGAGTGGACTCGGGGCAGTGAGTGATGAGCGAGTTCACGAGTGAGTGAGTGAGGAGAGGCACAGACACACGCTCGCCATCTCCGCAACCCTGCACCCTCTCCCTCTATTCCCTATTTGAGCACCGACTCGCCACCCTTAGGCAGGGGCTCCCACTGATCGGCGGCGTGGCCATCCGGTAGGAGGGGTCTTGGGGTGGCCCGCAATTTCGCCAGCGTTTGAGTCCCAGAGGGTGGCGTTGAAGCACTCGCGCCCCCAACCCGCTTGGCCTCCAACAGCCATTAATCCAGAAGTACCCATCCCATCCATGGGTACCTGAAGAAACTACATGTTAAGGCTTTTCTTGAAATCCTACTTTTACCAACAACCCTTTTCTTGCTTTTCTAGTCTTTCCTCTTAACGGTTCTTTACGAGAGGGTTTCCAAAAGTGAGGGAAAATTCCATTCAGTTTTCCCTCGAGCCTTTGGAAGCCCTCCTTATGTTCTAGCACCATCCCTGGCATGTAAACTCTAGGGGACTTCATCGTCCTGCCTATCTACTCAGCATCACGGGCGTCATTGGACGGGTCTTCCTCAGGCTGCTGAAATCTTTAGCACTGATCCTGAACCTCAGATCTCACAGGGAACTAGACCTCTTAAATGAGCCCCAATCTTAGGTAAGCCACAAGTTCCCTTGACTGGGATTTAATTTTACATGGAAAACAAAAAACAAACCAACTAGCTCTGAGTACTTTTTTCATAAAGGCCTCTCTTTTTCTCTCTTCTCTTCTAAATACTTTTTAACTTAGGGGTGAGTTAAATAATCAAACATTGGGCCTGCTAAACTCATGGGTGGCACCGTCGGCCGAGCGCTGGGCTGCTAACTGCAGGGTAGGCGATGCAAACCACCAGCTGCTCCCCTGGCTGCTTCTGAAAAGATTGACAGCGTTTGAAACCTTTGACAGAGGGTCAAAATCAACTGGATGGCTGGGGTTTGGGTTTGATCCAGGACAACGACGCACATCTTTCCATCTCTAACGTTCTTGCTATTATCAGTATTATTAAAGAAAGCCGGGGAGGGAGGGGAAAAATGAGGACCTAATGTCGGGGGTTTAAATGGAGAGAAAATGTTTTGAGAAATGATGTACAAATATGCTTTACACAATTGATGTGTGTATGGATTGGGATAACAGTTGTATGAGCCCCTAATAAAATGTTAAAAAAAAGAAAGCATCCTGCAGGCAGTCATTTCTTGTAGAAATGACCTTGCCAGGTTCATGCCTCATGCATTCAAAGAACAGATTTTCAAAAGGTTCTTTGATGAAACTTTTCATATAATATTTGAGATGCTGAGATGGAGGCAAGCCACCTTTATTAAAAAGGCATCGTGATTTTTAAAGCTGTAGTAGAATCATGCTTAATTAAGACCGGAAGGACTTCGTTCCCAAAGCTCTGGGATCCTGTTTAAGGAGCATTCTCAAGAGGTTTGTGTTCATGCAGGCTAGCATCCCTGATGTCTGTAGGGAGAGAATGGCCCTCACCTATGTCCACAGTCATAGAAGGGCTCTGATGCTTCTCAGCCCTACACTCCAAGCTTTAGATAAGGGGTTAGAGCCAAGGGCCAGGACGTCAGGAGAACCCTTAGAAATCCCTTGCACTAGGAAAGCTATCTGTGCATGGCAGCATGTCCCCAATCCTGCTGGTGGTTTGAATCATGGCCACACTAGCCATGCAGCCCTCAAGCTCTCTCACCACTTACATGCATTAGGTCCTGCAGCGATTCTGCTTCGGTTGGGGCATCTATGACCTCCTCACTGGGTCTGTATTCCACAGCTATTTTACCGTTTTCTGAAAGAAGATGAACAATTCAAACCCATTCTTTTTTTCCCTTCAAGTCCATTCTTGCTCTAAAACTTCTAGCATACAAAAACACCCACCCAGTGGCTGGCACCGCTACCCTCCAGTCATCTGGCCTTCAGATTAGCAGCCACATAGGATGGTGACACCCAATAATTAGGCATTCTTTTGATTCCTAAAAGTGGAAGAACACTTTCCTTGAAGTTCCCTCATCTCACACTGCTGTTATCATAAGCATTTGCTGGTGATACATGTTATCAACTGTGTTTAACTCAAAGGATTATGCCACCTTAGAAACAGGAACGGTGTTGCTATATAGGCATTAAAAGCTGTGGGAACAAAAATATTCAACCACAATATGATGAAACAGTAAGGCATTTGGCGAAGAAGGTGAATTGAAAACTAGGAAAGAGGAAGTACTTCCTATCCGAAGTAAGAGCTGAATGTCTACTTCCAGCAGATTCAGGGAACAACAAACTTTGGACAGAAAGAGAAGGTTTGAGTGCTTTCTTGTTAGCTAGTTGTCATCGAGTTACTTCCATTGAATTCCATAGGGCTTCCTTAGCTGTAATCTTAATGAAAGCTGATTGGCCAACTTTTTCTTACAATTTGCCACTGAGTGGGTTAAGTTTGAATCAGCAACCCTTTAGGTTAGTAGTAGTGAGCAAACCATTTGCACCACCTACGGACCTCCCCTGGCCAAAACTGAACCCACGCACATCACAGAGAATATAACTCCCCTTCAAGGCACACAAGAGCCCTAACCAAGAGCTGCTGGGTGTGTTTGTGTACAGTGAGTATGCTACCATATTGTTTGTTGTTAACTACCATACAGTTGATTCCAACTCACTCTGGAAAACATACCACCAGCCGGAGGCATCACTGGGTGGGTTCCAACAGCTAGCCTTTTGGGCTAGAGCTTAAATGTTTTATTCCACTCAGACTTCTTCGCATATTAGGGAGATGTAAACAACCTGGTCCTTTGGCTTGGTTCTTGAAGGCTGTTAGCCAGAGTCCAACAGAGGTGCTTGTGCTCCACGACCGGAGCCCTCAGGCTCACTAGAAAGGCTGGAAGGCAGAGCCCAATCTCTCATAAACAAGCAAGGTTCTCTGACAACTTAACAAGGATTACGGAGTCTCTATGCTAGCAGGGTGGTGAAGTAGGGGAGCAATTCTGTGTAAGGATTCTCTGCTCATCATAAAGTTTCCTTTGGGCGTAGTCGATGGCATTAACCCCCCTGGAGGAAAAAATCCAGAGAGCACAATCCATGTCATCCAATCACATGACCACTTTAAAGGGTAGATACAGACTCACACGAGAGCAGCCAATTCTTACCAGCTGAATCCCATCTCTAGTTGAACACATACTCAATATGTCAGTGCCCGCAGGGGAAACTGAAATGAAGATGCTTGATTCAGAAGACATGCTCTAACACTCTCTTTAATTAAACAACAATGATAAATAACAAAGTTAACATATCTGGCCTGTCTACCATGTCGCTGGCACACTGCTAAGCCTTTTTTTCCCCATTCCTCATTTACTCTTGCAATGCTTCCGTGAGCCGGTAATTACCAATCCTATTTTCCAGATGAGGAAATGGCAGCTTAGAGATAGTAAATACTTTCACATCTCTCTGGCTATGAAATCTAACAATGCATCCACGGTCTAAGAGACAGCGCTAAGACTCACACGTAAGTGTCTGAAACATGTAATCACAACACCATTCTGCATGACAGGTGAGGAATCGAGGGAGAAGACCAGATCATTCTTACTGTGTGGCCTGAGACTAGTCGGCGCACACCTGGAAACGAAGTCGGTAATATTCACTGTCACGTCTCTCACAGATGTCGTGATGAATTTGAGACCGTTGCTATAAACCAGTTTGGGACGTATACTAATCATCTGGAGTGCTTTAGATAGCCAAATGTCCATCCCATTCACTTTTCCAAATGAGTTCCTTTGCTCACTGAAACGGAAGCACCTCAGAGATTATACAGAAAGTCTTACCTAAAACCACGACCGACAGTTTCTGGAATGCATTGGACAAAGCCTTCTGAATGGCCAGCTTCTGGGTCAGCTTCCTTTTCATGAGGATCGATAACGGCCCTAATTCCAACCCAAATAAACAGATTTAAAACTCTTAGCTGAACGATCATCTTTATGTCATATGTCAAAAAAGAAAAAAATACATCCACAATTCTTAGATCATTATCTTGAAGATTAAGGGCAGGGACTGGTTGAACAGCTGTGTCGTAGCTACATCATGGCGGGCAGAGGACACGTTTGCTGCTCCCTCCATTCCAGAAATCCCCGAAAGTATTGGAAAGGAGAGACAGGCCAGGAACTTAGCACAACTCTCACATCGCACGATGATTTTGAACTGACAAGTTGAAGCTCTACTCCAGAACCAGCCTCGCTTCCCATGGGTCAGGAGCTGGAGTCACACATTGAGGAAGCGCTGGGGGTGATGCTGATATGGACTGCCCCTGGGTATCACCCATGGGTGCCCACTCCACTCCACTCCCTACCAACCACGCTGACTTAAATCCCCAAGCCTGAGTGTCATGCATTTGGGAAAAATCCCAGTACTGATCAGAGTGCCCTTTCAGGCACATATATGTGACTATTTCCACTCATGTCCTTCCCTGAGGAAGCCAAGGGCTGAATGTCTGCTTGAGTATATTTAGATCTTTGGGTGGTCATTTTGCTGGGCTGGCTGAAGACTATGAAAGATCTATATATGGGGGTGGAGGCCGGGGGTTTAAAAAAAAAAAGATCCATATATGGAAGATACTTTAATATAAACCAAGTTCTTACCCCCAAATTGGAAAAACAATATTCCCTTCCACCAAAATTTTTTGCAAGAGGTCAGTGCTAGCATTTCCAGGTGAAAAGTTCTGCCGAGTACTGCCTGCCTAAGGATGAGTAAAAATCTGCATTGTAAGGTGCAAAAACTCTCCTGGGAGCTTTAGTCATTTAGCACAGGGGAGGGGTGATGATCCCTCTAAAAGGAGTTTTAGAAAGACAAGTCCCTACCCCACCCCCAGCCCCATTGAGAAACCGACCTTCTTCCTGCTTATCCAAAGGCTCCTCTGCCAGGCCAACTCCAGGACTCCTGCACGCATAGGCTGGCAACGCCACCTCCAGAGCACAGAAGAACCTCAGGCTTTGCTTCTGAACTGCGGCCCTCTCTTCATTCTCCCCTTCTTCCGGGTCAGAAAGATTCTGAAGCTGTGAGGATTTGAAATGAAAGTTCTTAAAATCTCCATGTAGACGTCAAAAGTGGTTCTTAAGGGAAAACTCGCCTCCAGCCATCTCAGTTCATAGTTGAAGTGTCTGATCACTTCAAATTCAGGCAGGAAGCACAAATGAATGACTAAGATCGAGAGAGCCCGCTCTCATTTTTCACCAAACCGTGGGGAACACTGTGGCCACTACCACCCGAGGCATCGAGACTAGAGCTTCATTATAGCGGGCAGGCCAAGGCTCTGTTAACCTCCACGTCCTGCCTCCTCCTCACAACTCCGTTCAGTCCTCCTCTCAAGTCTAGGATTTCCGTGTTGAGAGTCTGGCAACTCAAAAGTCAGCCGACAATGGTTTACCTTGATGATCCTTGTTGACCATCCGTTGAAACCAAAGTAGTGATTTGCAAGTTCTTGGCATCGAGAGCTGTTTAGGGCCAGGGCCCGATGGGGAACTGCCTTATGTTTGGTGCCAAGATGAACCTGAGGACAGAGACAGATCCACAGATAGCGCAATCTGGTATGGAGGCTTACCTCAGGAACAACCTGCGATGTGTTTGTGCTGGTTCATAGTCGTTGGAGAGAGTAAGTGTGATCACAACAAGCCCTAAGTGTTATTTATTCAGTATGCTTAAAGATGGTGCTTTTCTGCGCCATCCCCAGCCCCTGGTTAACAGGCAGGTTTTCCCTGACCCCTGGTGGTGAACAGTGGTGATGACGACACCTGAGGAAATCATCCTGCAGAAGCAAATGCTAGCATGGTGACTTGCAGAGACAATAATCGGCTTCTCTCTCCCCCTTAACGATGGAAACAGCAGGAAGGTAGGACCTTAATCTGCAGTATGCCTCCCCTCTTTAGAAAGGGGAGTACCCTTGTCTCGGTCAAAATGAAGACAAACAAAACAAAAAACGAATTGCTTTCTAGTTGATTCTGAGTTGTGGAGCCTCCTGTGTGTCCAAGAAAAGCTCTGATTTGGGGGAGTAGACCACCACCTGGCCTTTTTTCTAAGCACCCTTCAATCGTTTGCACCACGCAGGAACCTGTAGATATGTATTACTAGCTCAAAGCACACAGAGGCTCATTTGCATTGGCAAGCTCCCTGAGAAGGCAATAGTCTCCTGAGTGTTGACTCTATTGACAATTTACACATTGGAGGGTCAGTCAAAAAGACCCTCCACAAGCTCGATTAAGCTCAATGCAGCGATGGGCTCAAACATAACTATTGTGAGGACAGAACAGAGCAAGCAATGTTTTATTCGGTTATATAAACTCATGCCCATTGAGTTGATTCGGATGCAGAATGGTCCTGTAAGGTGAGAGTAGAACTGCCCTGTGGGGATCAGAGGTTGTAAGTCTTTATAGGGGCAGAAAACCTCACCCTTCTCTCGTGGAGCGGCTGGAACGTTTGAACTGCCACGCTTGTGGTTAGCAGCCCCACACATCACCCACTAAGCCACCAGAGCACCTTGGTTAACAGTCCCTGAGTTGGAAGCAATCTAACAAAAAACAATACCAGATTCCTCGATCATATAATGAATGGCATCATTCGTCCTATCTCAGCTGCTTTTCTCATTATACTCTTTGCTAGATTCTACTTTTGATCTGCCACAGATCCCGGGGAAGGTATGTGACTGGGCAGCACTTTCCTTCGGTTTCTAGGGGTCATCCTGAGCTGGGGTCAATTCAGCAGCAGCTAAGGACAACAACATGAATTCCGTACATCGCGAATCCTTTCTTAAATGTCTGTTGTATTTTTTAAGCCCAAGTGTCGTCTATGAATATATATTTTTAATATAAATCATTTTACTGGGGGCTCTTATAACAATCCGCACATTAGTTGTATCAAGCACATTGTGCATATGTTGCCACCAACATATTAATATATTCTTATTGGCATCTTCCTCTATTATTGGTTTAAGCTGAAAGGCTGAGGGAACCATAGCTTATTCTTTTATTATCAGAACTACACAGTTTTAGGCATTTAATAGGGTCTGTTGAGTAAGTGAATGAGTATAAAAATATAAAATGACCCCCAGCTCACCAACCCCCAGGACAATATTCTGGCTCAGAGCAGCCAATGCAGAGAGCAATCACAGGGCAGCCCCATCACGAGGCATGACAACATGTCCCTCACTGACACAGCGCTAAGGGGACAGCAAGAGGAGCAAAGCTATACTAGAAGGGTAAGAGGGGGGAGGAGTAAGAGGAACCTATCACAATGATCGACATATGGTCCCCATCCCAGGGCAACAGACAGCAGAAAAGTGGGTGAAACGAGACAGTAGTTGGTGTAAGACAGGGGGAAAAAATTGTATTTAATAAATTATCAAGGGGACATGAGGAAGGGAGGGGGGGGGGAAAGAGGGGGAAAACAATGAGGAACTGATGCCAAGGGCTCAAGTAGATGTTTTGAAAAAGATGATGACAACAGATGTGTTTGACAAAATGGATATATGTAAGGATTGTGGTTAAGAGCTGTAAGAGCCCCCAATAAACTAAAATTTATATATACATATATAATATAGATGCATATATATAAAATGGCTTTCCCAATCTGAAGCTGATGGAGAGATGAAGGCTAATCTTCAAAGGTTGACTGCCGCCTTGGTTACAGTGGCATGTTTCTGGATAACTAGAGCTTCAGAGGGCTCCGAGTTCCTGGGAAGCAGACAGCGGGCAGTTCTTGGGTAACCTTGCCACCGATATCGCTGGCAACCATGTCCCTCGTACCACTGACACAACATGCTCTCCAGTGCCTCGGGCCATTCCTGGATCTTATATTAAAATTTCTCTTTTCCAATATTTGTAAAAGGTGAAAAAGACAGGAACTGTATATACTTGCCAAAGTATAAAAGGCCACTTTTGAACTATTAGAGGATAGTAACCTAAAAGAATGAATTAAAAACATACATATATGAATTTTGGGAATAATGAGGGCAACAAATGTATAGATGTGCTTTACACAGTTGATCTATGTATTGTGATGAATTTTATGAGCCCCAATAAATTGATTAAAAACCAAAACAAAAAACACACACATATATAAAAAATACGAATGCCAAGGAATCCTGGGGGCACAATGGCTAAGCAGCTTGGTTGCTAACTAAAAGTTCAGCAGTTCGAATCCATCCCAGTGGCTCTGAGCGAGAGAGAACCGGTGATCTGCTCTCTTGAAGATGGCAGCCTAGGAAACCCTGGGGGCTACTTATTGACCTGATGGCATCCAAAAACAACAATATACACGCCCTCCCATCTCATCTATGGATTGTCTTTAGAGGATTTCCTCAGCACTCTCAGCGATGGCCCAATGCTACAAAAAACCTCCAAACCTAACGTACATGAAATAGTCTGAGTGTCCACAGAACACTAACAACGCACCACTCACAAGCAACCCCGTGAACTTTGTCACACTCTTTCCACTGCACTTGTAACCGCTGAGTAGAAGCAGGCAGATCGCAATCTGGAAACTAAAGGGTGCCTAGAGGGAATCGTTTCAAACACAGGGAGTGGAGTCGGGATTGGGGAGGCATTGAATAGGATACCTGGACTTACTACCAGACAAGTTCCCAGATTACAAAGTTAAATCACTGAGGAAAGGAATAGGACAAGGATGGGGGTGGGGGTGGGGTGGGGTATCATGAGGGCAAAAGGAGGCTATCAAATTGGGTGCAGCTTGGGAAGACAGAGTTTAATGCAAAAGGTTTAGGCTATCTAAGCCTTATTCACATATTCAGAGAAAAGAGTTCTGGATTAAGGAAGGGTCTTTGAACAGATGCACATAAGGCGAGAGTGTTCTGGACCTCTGGGAAAGGGAAATTGGTATATGACACATTGAAGAATCTTTTACCCAGCTTCGGGAAGCTAAATGGAGCTCCAGATAGTGTTGATGGTGATGAGGTCATGGAACTTAAAGGCCCCGTGAAAGCCGAAGCAGGATTCTTCTTCTGAAGATGTTTAAAATTCAAGGGCAGCACAGAATGGCCTGCTTGTTAGCATCAGTACATTCAACCGCCACTGTGCCTGGGTGGCTAAGATCCAGGTACCACTGTGCCTCACAAAGAGCACCTGCAAATTTTTTTTAAAGAGAGGATGTGAGAGGGGCCCGTTTGGTGTGGACTGGTCCTAAGAGCTGTGAGAGGGTGTGAGTGGCCTCCAGACCCCTCCAGAGCCCTACCCACCCCAGGCCAGTCTCTGCACTTAGCTAACCTCCAGTTTCAACAATTACTGTCCTTAACCTTAAGCAAATCACATAATCACTCTGAGTGATTAAAAAATGGGGAACTGGAGGATCAGTTCCCGGCACCTCAAAAATAGGGAACTCCTGGATCAATGCGGTGGGCTCTGCATCGGAAAACATTCTGTAAACCAAAAACCTCCCTGCTGTGGAGTCGATTCCATTCATAATAACCCTACAGGTCCGGGGACGATCGCCCCTGGGGGTTTCCGAAAATGCCAATCTTTACGGGAGTAGAAAGCCTCATCTTTCTCCTGCGGAGCAGCTGGTGCTGTCAACCAAAGGTGGGGTGCAAATGTGGGTGGGTGCCACGGCGTCAGCGCGCCCACGGGCCATAGAATGAAACCATGCCGGACCCAGCAACGCACCCTCACAATCGCTGTTTGCCCCCGTTGTTGCAGCCGCTAGGTCAGTCCATCTCGTTGAGGATCTTCCTCTTTTTTCTTTGGCCTTCTACTTTACCAAGCATGATCGGCCTCTCCTGGCAACATGTCCCCCCCAGAGGGGAGACGAGTCCCTCTCTCGCCACCCTGGCTCCCACGGAGTCGAATCCTGGCAGTGCACACGCGCTCGCTGCTTCGGGCGGAATTCAGCGGGCCATCCTGGGGGCGCTAGGAATTCCACGCGCAGACCTACCTTCACCGGAGAATTCTGGAAAAGCTGCTTCCGGTCGCAGGCCCTTTGCGCTCTGCGAGCATCCCCGGCGGAATAAAACTTGACGATGGCGTAGAAGCCAGGCCGGGCCACCGCAGCGTGCGGGAAGACGCGGACCGAATACAGAGGGCCACACCGGGAGAAGACTCTGAACAGAGACCGCTGTGGGGAGCGCCCACGCAGGTGAGTGCGGCAGCCCCCGGGAATTCCCCAGCCCCGTCGACCCCTCCTCAGGGAGCGGCTCGAAACACTTCTCAGTGCCTGCATGCGCCCCAACTCTGAAGCGCGTTACAAGGCAACGTGCCCCGGAGGTGATACCATCGGTGGGGGTGGGCAGGTGGGGTCTGCTCCAGAGGACGCACAATCCTGTACCTCTGCATTCAAATGAGGGAGGTAGCAATTCAGGACGGGCGAGGGGGGACGGGGGACGCGAGACCTTGGGACCCAGTCAGTCACCAGGTGGGCGGCTTTCCTCATCCCTCCCTTCACCTTGGCCCCGGCACACCTGCAAGTCTTCGGCCGTCGGCCCAGAGCTCAACTCCCACACCACCAGAGTTTTGTCCCCCTCGGTGGGGACGGCAAAGGGTACCAACTCCGCCATCCGGCCGCCACTGCGCCTGCGCGGCTAAGCGTTACGCGCCACTGCGCCTGCGCACGGGCAACCGCGAAAATTTAAAGGAAGCGCGCGAGGGGCGGGGCCCGTACGGAGTGGGCGGGGCGTGGGAGCAGTTGGCGGGCGTCCGGGCCCCCGCCCGGGCCCACCTTTGCCCCGCCCACCCGTCTGACCTGCGCTTTTAGTTCCGCTGCAACTGCCCGCCCCAGTCGCAGGCTTCAGTGCTTGCTTTGGGGTAAGGTAGCGCCCAAAGGGTGCGTTTATATGATCACAGGTAGGCATTTTTGCAGGCCGGCTTCACCTTCGTCCCTAGACCAAGGAACTAGAGAACTAGGTAGAAAGTACCTCCTGAGCTTTAAAGGGACTTTCAGACACCAGTCTGGATGAAGTCCTTTGACGGAGTTTAAACTATGCAAATAATCACTAAGCCTTTTTTTTCCTTCTAGACATTGATTTTCTTTTTTGTTTTAAATCATTTTATTGGGGGCCTCGTACAACGCTTATCACAATCCATCCATCCATTGTGTCAAGCACATTTGTCCCATTTGTTGCCATCATCATTCTCAAAATATTTGCTTTCTCCTTGAGCCCTTGGAATCCGTTTATTTTTTCCCCTCCCTCCCCTACCCTCTCTCCCTCATGCACCCTGCACCCTTGATAACGTAGACATTATTTTTCATGTCTCACATTGTCCTATGTCTCTCTTCACCCACTTTTCTGTTTTCCGTTCCCCAGGGAGGGAGTTGTATGTAGATCATTGTGATCAGTTCCCCATTTCTCTCCCAACCTCCCCTTCCCCTCCTGGTTATCTCTACTCTTATTATTGGTCCTGAGGGGTTTATCTGCCCTGGATTCCCTGTTCCCAGCTCTGATCTGTACCAGTGTACATCTTCTGGTCTAGCTGGATTTTTAAGGTAGAATTGGGATCAAGACAGTGAGGGGGAGGAAGCATTAAAGAACTAAAGGAAACTTGTATGTTTCACCATTGCTATCCTACATCCTGACTGGCTCGTCTCCTCCCTGCAACCTTTCTGTAAGGGGATGTCCAGTTGCCCACAGATGGGCTTTGGGTCTCCACTCTGCACTCCCCTCATTCACAGTGAACAAAAAGAACGAAAAGATCGTTTGTTCTTTGATGCCTGATACCTGATCCCATCAACACCTCATGATCACACAGGCTGGTGTGCTTCTCCCATGTGGGCTTTCTTGCTTCTCAGCTAGATGGCCAATTGTTTATCTTTAAGCCTTTAAGACTCAAGACGCTATATCTTTTGATAGCCGGGCACCATCAGCTTTCTTCACCACATTTGCTTATGCACCCATTTGTCTTCAGCGATCCGTGTCAGGAAGGTGAGCATCATGGAATGCCAGTTTAATAGAACAACGTATTCTTGCATTGAGGGAGTGCTTGCGTGGAGGCCCATCTGCTACCTTAATACTAAACCTATAAATATAAGCACACAGATCTATTTCCCCCATCGTCATATGTACATATATTTGCATATGTACATGCATGTATTTAGACCTTTAAAAATGCCCTTTGCCTCCTAGTTCTTTCTTCTATTTCCTTTTACTTTCCTCTTGTCCCACTATCAGGCTCAGCCTTCATTTGGGTTTCAGTAATTCCTCTGGGTTACATTGCCCTTGATCAAGCCCTACCAGGCCTCCTACACCCTCCTGGCCATCGATTTTGGATGACTTGTTGTTCCTTTGTCCCTGGGTTTGTTAACACCCACTTCCTCCTTCACCCCCCCGCACCTTTGGTTACGTTGTTTTCTCCTCCAGATTGTTTATCCCACCTATTTATCTAAATAGACCAATCACTAAGCCTTTAACATTTTGGCTCAAATCCATTTAGAAGCATTCCCTGAGAGTCCTACATGATTCTGATCAATTATCTGTGTATGTTTGTGGGAGAAGGGTAAATGGGAAATTGGGGCTGATCTGCAAGTGAAACTTGGAAAATCTAAGAGTGGATCCAATCCCCAAATGGAAACTCGTGGTGCCTGAGATGGGGTGTTTGGGGCCTTTTGAGAGTCATTTATTTGCCAGAATAGCACACAGAGTTATTGGTTGGCTATGTAAAGGCATTTGACTGCGTGGATCATAACAAACTCTGGATAACATTGAACAGAATGGGAATTCCTGAACACTTACTTCATTGTGCTCATGCAGAACTCGAACACAGAGGCAGTTATCTGAACAGAACAAGGGCTCTTATTGGGTGGTTTTAAATCAGGAAAGGTGTGCTTAGGCTTATATCCTTTCACCATGTTTATTTGATCTGCGCAACTCTCCAAGAAGCCGGAGTCCATGAAGAAGAATGCAGCACCATGGTTGGAGGAAGGCTCCTCAACAACCTGCAGTATGTAGATGACCCACCTTGCTTTCTGAAAGCGAAGGAGGCTTGAGGCTCTTCCTGATGAAGATCAAAGACTACAACCTTCGGTGTGGATGACGACTCAAGGTAGGCAGAACTCCTCCCCACTAGACCAACACACATCCTGACAAACAGAAAAGATGGACGTTGTCAAGGCTTTCATTTTACTCACGGCAGCCATACTCAAGAGATTGCACAAGACCCTTTCCATTGTGTTCTAGCAGAAAAAGAGACTCCTAAATTCAACTACAACTTAAAACAAGCCAGAGACATATCATCCACATTAAGGGGACCATCAGAACGAGGCTATCATGGTGTCCAAGGATTCACTGTCCACTCAACTACTTAGGTAGGACAGGGAACACAAAGGAAACGATGACAAAATCCTGATTGACAGCAGATCCATTCATCCCAGCTGCGGGCGGGACTACAGAATCAGGAAAGGGACCATGATTGAGGGACATAGATGTCGTTTTTAGGTACCATCGAGTCTGCTCAGACCCACAGCGACCTTATGCACAACAGAATGAAACACTGCCCAGTCTTGCACCAGCCTCACAGTTGTTCCCACGCCTGAGCCCATTGTGGCAGCACTGTGTCCCTCCATCTCCTGAGGGCCTTCCTCTCCTTCATGATGTCCTTCTCCAGGGACTGGTCTCTCCTGACAACATGCCCAAAGTAGGTAAGAGGAAGTCTGGCCATCCTTGCCTCTGAGGAACACTCTGGCCATACTTCTTCCAAGACAGGTCGGTTTGTCCTTTTCCCAGTCCATGGTGCTTTTATTTTTTAATCATTTTATTAGGGGCTCATACAACTCTTATCACAATCCATACACAC